TCCTCCATGAATAAAATTCCCAAGGGAGTCTAACATCAGCTGTGTCTGAGAGAGTCTGACAGGAAAAATCAGAACCTTATCAGCCTGTGAAACCTTTTGTTAGGAGGGAATGATTGACCTCAACCTAACCGAAAGGCGAGTCCTTAGGGTGTGCCTTCCCACCTCCGTGGTGCAGCCCTGGGGGCAGGGGAAGTGGGAGGAAGCTCTTGAAACTAATTGCCTTCCCAGAATGCCTGATGGTCCTTGGGCAGAATGTTGTAAATGGATGAACTTGGGACATCTGCCATGGAGTTAACATGTTGTCAAAGTGGTAAGAAAAGACTTAATGAGAGAGCATTTGCAGTTTATTCTATGTACTGGATCTGACCTCGTCTCCATTATAGAACATTGTTTTCCCTGATTATAAGGGTAGTGTTAAATTGGAAGTTGTCTGCTTTTTAAATTTTTGACCGATTTTTAACTCTTGTCTTCTATTCTCCCCCAGCCTACCTTACTCTGCTCAGAGCAGGCTCAAGAAAGCCAAATTCATTTTATCATTATCTGAAACCAAACATTAGGAATTTAAACATGTTGTCACAAAAAAATGAGCCCTCCCAGCTCAAGTTAGAGTTACTGTTGGTCTGTCTGTTACTGTTCTTCCTCCTTGAGCATGAAACGGTATGAGTGACTGTGTCCCTGTCAAATTCCGATGTGGCTGCTCCATGTTTCTCCCGTAGACATAGCCTCTCTTTCTCCTTCTGGCAGATACACAATAAAAGGCATCAGGAACCTGATTTTCTATGAGCTGCCAACATACCCGCACTTCTACAGTGACGTCTGTAACATGCTGCGAGCCATGAGCAGAGGCGAGGAGGCCGCCTGGACCTGCACCGTCCTCTACTCCAAGTACGACGCCCAGCGCCTGGCCGCTGTGGTCGGGGTGGAGCGGGCTGCCCAGATGCTGCAGTCCAAGAAGAACGTCCATCTCTTCATTACCGGGGAAAGATAAGAACTGGCTGGACGGGAAACAGTGTTGGCGTGACACATGATGCTCGATTCTGCACCGCTTGGACCCGATTCTGATTGCTTCTACAAAGAAGGCTGCTAGCAGGAGGGGGTACCAGGCAGCGTCTTCTCAGACACGTCTTCCTTTTCAGGTCACGTATCCCTGAAAAGTTCCGCGTAGACCAGACTTTGGTACAACCTATCTTTGAGAGGTCAGGAGGAGCTCGTGGGGGCTCTGAGAAGTCGATAGAAGGAATCCTCGACTTGTGAATCTTTTTGTAAGCTATAAATTGTCTATTGTGGTTTTTACCTCGAATTGATCCTACTTGGTGAGTCTGTCAGATTTGCCTGTTTCTGGTTGACTCTTCTTACACTGAGGCACACATTTCCGTGCTGGTGAGAACTGGTGGTGAGAAACTGGAATCCTTCTTGCTGTTGAGCATCATCTTTTGGATTGCACAGGTTTTGCAAAACTGTTACTTCTCCCCAGCCAAACTTTTTTAAACCTTACATATTCTATTTTAATTCAACCTAGAAGAGTATATTCATTCACTGATCTTTCTTTAACTCATAATAATAAATGTTTTGGTTAAAATACGTACGTAAAAATCACATTATATAAAATAACAATTTCTACTCTATTTCAAGAAATAATTTTGTGACGCTCTTGATGCTACAGATTCGTCTTCACCACATGTCTTCATCATCGCCATAGTCACTTGTCTGTTACACTGAGAAGTTGCACTTTTAAAAACAGTTTTAGGGAATTTGTCCAGTGTTTAGGGCTCAGCGCTTTCACTGGCTTGGCCCAGGTTCGGTCCCTGTTGAGGGAACTAAGATCCTGCACGCTGTGTGGCGTGTGATTTCCTCTTGTCTCATCACTGTTACACTAACCCACCACTTGTTTAAGGTGGTGCTCACCAGCCTTTTTCACTATAGGGTCACTCATTCCTAGTTTGTTTATTAGTTTATATTACGAGTATGGAATCATTTCATTTTTTTATGCAGTGGGTTTTAACTGATTATTTCTGTTATTCCTCTAGATGCTTGAATCATCTCAGGTATGGCCAGCAGGAACCCCCTCAAGCTGACTCCCGTGTCTTCTTGACATGTCCCCCTTATGCTTGGCATTTTTCTTTATTTCTGACACTGTAGCACAGTCCAGGTTTGTCTTGCCCTTGTCATTACTCTGGCCCTACTTTCCTTAGTGGAACACTATTTTAAAACTAAGATTTGAGTATTAGGTATGCTCAGTACTATTGTGGAGCCACTGGTCCCAGGTCATCTCAGCAGTCAGAGTTTGGAAATATTTGCATGTGTACATGTATGCACATACCTATGTGCCCGTAACACCTAAATTTATTTCCATATCCATATTGAAAACCATGAATTTATCCCGTGCCTCCATTTCAAACTAACAGCCCAGGGTTCCTTTTGTTTTCTCCCTTTCCACATTTGTAATTCTCTTCTCAGATAGTGAGACTTGGGGCTCCCATTACCCTCAGTGGAACAATCCATAGTTGGAACCGATTTTGTTCCTCTTGGACATGCTTAAAATTTCTTATTTAAAAAAAGTGAAATTACTTTTGGGGTACTTTTACTGCTAAATATTTATATAGCCATTTTTATCTCTTTTCCCCAATGTGGAGAGTACATTTATTCACTCCATATATAGATGGGTTCCTAAAGTTTTGCAAATTTGTAGTCCTAAACCAGCCAAACTCATACTACAGAGAACTTTTTTTTTTAAGACATATATTTTAAATTTTTATTGGAGTATAGTTGATTTAAAAGTGAAAGTGAGAGTCGCTCGGTCATGTCCAATGCTTTGCGACCCCATGGACTGTACAGTCCCTGGAATTTTCCAGGCCAAAATACTGAAGATCCAGGGGATCTTCCCCACCCAGGGATATGAACCCAGGTCTCCCACATTGCAGGTGAATTCTTTACCAGTTGAGCCACAAGGTTAATTTACAGTGTTTTGTTAGTTTCAGGTGTACGGCATAGTGAATCAGTTACACATACACATTTACCTACAAAGAACTGTTTTATCCATAGAGTGCCCTGTGGTTATGGGCATATTTGTGCCGCTGTTTACCCTAGAGCCTATGTATTATGAGAAAAGAAATGAATTATTTGCTGGTTCAGAGAAACAAGGAAGCAGGGACTCTGATTACCCTCACCTTCTGTTTCCACATTCTTTTCCCTGTGAATTGTAGCCTATCCGTGGCTTTCATTATCACTAGTCACAAGACTCCCAGTCTCCATCTTCTCTGGATCTCCACTCACATGCGAGCCCAGGTTTCAAGTGTGTGACGTAGCCCCAGGAAGACACACTTTATTAAGCTTTCCTGCTGATTTTAATGCTGGCTTACAGCCAGCTGACTGCTCCGAACTCCGAGAGGGTCACGTGTGAGCAAAACCACGTTGCTTCTGTTCTCGGCTCAGCACCTGGGAAAGAAGGTAAGTAAGCCTGTGCAGTGGCCCTGGCTCCTTGGCTGATTGCAGAGAGCGGAATCTGGCGTGGTTTCATTACAAGGATACCTTCATATCAGGTCTCCCATAAGAAATAAGGGAGAGGAGAGAGTCTCCTGAACTCTGGATAAAAACGCCTGAGCTGGAATTATACACGATCTTGACATTTCTTCGCAAGGCTCACCTTGAGCAAACGAGCGCCTGTACAGTGCTGGCAGAAAACAGAACATGGGATGGTCCCAATCCTGGGAAGAGGTAGAATTTTAAGGGAGGAAAAGGAACTTAACCTGCAAGGAAGAGTTTTAAACTTTTTTTTTCCTTCTTCCCGTGGTAATAAAACTAGCTTAGCACTTTTCTTTTTGAGGGGAAAAGAGCTTTGAATCATGAATGCTCTCTACAGCTGGCTGCACCATATGCAGTATTCAAAAGACAAGAACTAGCTAATCACAGAGAACCAGCGGCAGCTAAACAGCCCTCTGCCAGCTTCCAAAGGGCTTGTAATTGAGTGCAGATGGCCCCGGCGGGGTGGGTACGTGTTCCTGCTGACTCCTCACAGCCCAAAGGGCCAAGGGGGACTGGTGGAGCCTCCGCCCTGATGGTGCCCTAGTTGGAGCCGCTGAGGACGGAGGGGGAGGTGGACGGTGTGGGAGCCTGCTTGGCCGCCTGCTGCCCAGCCCACCCTTGGCCACGAGAGCAGACCTTCAGGCCGCAGAGCGTAGCTTTGATGAATCTAGGATCTCAAGATGACAGAAGGCCGGGGAAAAGGGAGCAGGGTTGGGAGTTCTTTATAATCATCCGAAGAGCCTCACTGTGCAGTTTGCAGGTGGCTGCGGGGTGCCCAGCCTCCCGGAGGAAGAGTTTGGGGGAAATGCACAGCCCGCTCCTTGCAGGGAGCCGCCTCTCTGGTGGGGCCCGCCGCTGGCCCGCCCCCTCCTTCCCATCTCTTCCCCAGCTTCTCTCTTCAAAGGCCTTCTGGTCGTCATCTTCATACCATTCAAAAAAGCCTTTCTGACTTCTAGCTAAATAGAAATCTAAACAAACTTCAGTCTCACACAAAAATGCTTTTCCAGCTAAACAGAATTCTAAACAAATTTCAGTCCGCTTTTAATATCAGAGCTGGTGAACTGGGAGTAGATGACACAGATAATCCAAAATTGATGTAGTCTTTGGAAGGTGAAAGAACCCCACACACACACACCTCTTTTCCTCCCTAGTCATTCCTTCCACGTGCATCCACCATGTCCAGCTGACAGCAGGAAGTCCATGTCTTGCTAAAGACTTGTGTCTCTTCCTCTTATGTGATGTGCTCCAGACAGAGCTGCAATAAAATTCTATGCAATACATTTTATGTCTTTTTTTTTTCCTGAAGCTGGACGTGTGTTTCTATCCCCTCATGGTTTTCCTTCCTTCCCTGAGGACCGGCCTTTCTTTAGATGTGCGCTGCTGGCTTTTCAGACTCATCCCTGGATTCCCTTTTACACCTCTGGCCTCGGCCGTCTTTTCTGTGGGACCCCAGGACGTGGAAGAACAGCTCCAGGCCTCTACCACACAAACGGGCTGCCATCTCTGGCTGGAGTCCCGCGCCCCAAAGGAGTTAGGGCCGAGATCCGACCGCCACGAGGCTTGCTCGCCCTGCACAGGGAAATGTGAAACCGGTGGGCCTCTCCACCCGGGTGCGTCCCCCTCGCTGCGGAGGAAGCCCTGCACTCGCTGGTCCTCGCGCTGGCCTCCACGGCGGGCGGGGAGTGGCACGGTCCTGGCCAAGCTGTCAGGAGCTGCAGGTCCTCTGCTGCTGGCTGGGACCCAGTGGGGACCGTAACCTCGGCTGACACAGGGAGGGAAGGCAGGTTTGCCGCTGGGCTGCTCTGGAAGCTGTGCTGAATCCCTGCCCTTCTGTTCTCCCAGCTGAGCCGAGGCCAGAGCCGTCGAACTCTCGCCAACCAGGGGATGACGGAGCCCGGCGTCCTGCGGCCCCTCATCTGCCAGTTGGACGCCCCGCAGGGAGCTGGCCCCGGCTCACACCTGCTGTTGGTCCACAGATGTTCGTGAGTCTCTGCCTTCTGTGTTCCTCGTTTTCCAAAAGCGGCCCCGAGCTGGGTGCCGGCCCCATCACCACCGCCGCCGCCGCGCTGTGGCTCTCTGCCGGTCCTGCTGGCCGCCTCAGCTGTCTCGTCTTTTAATATAGAGTGGGGGACAAGCCCTGCCATCCTGACGGGGACGCGAGTGACAGTGGCTGTTCGTCCTGTACTCGCCTCCTGCTTCCCTGGAAACGGGACCCTGGGCTTTACTGAGGACAGAGTGCCCGATCCCCGTGGCAGTAAGGTGAGGCCAGAGAAGCGAGCTCTCAACTTTGGAGCAGATTCTTAGGAGAGCACTCTGAGAGGATCACCTCTTTCGCCTCCTGCGCTTCCCTGTTTCCTGCCTGGAGGACAGAAGTGATGGTCGAAGCTCCCCGGGACAGACGATGTCCCGTGCCCAGAAGAGGGTGGCGCCGAGAGGTAGCAGGAGCCTGGCTCCCCGGCCGCATCCTGAAGCTGCCGTCGCAGCTCTGCACGTCCTTCCCTCTGCACCCTCCGCTGGGAAAACCTGAACCCTCGTTTGTTCAGCCGCCAAGGCCAGGCTCTATCGTCCCCAACTCCTGACTGCTACAGAGGACAGAAATGGCATCACGGGTCCCCAGGTCCAAAGGCCCTGCCTGTTCTTTCCTTCTTCTCTCTGCAGTAACCAGCATAGGGACTGACCTCAGGGCTGGTGTCTGGCGCTTGGTGACGGTGGGATGTGGGTGCTGAGATGTCGCTGGTTTGGGGGCCATCACTTCCATCTCCAGTCCAACTGGGTCCTTAAGAATGAGGGAGCACACGTGTCTTCTCATAGGGTTTATGGAAACACGGTAGGACAAAAATACCTGGCAAGAAAACAGACTGCAGTTCTCTGCAAGTTGGTGATCACCTGTTTTTTCATTTCTTCAGGTGTATTTCAGAGCAAAATTAGGAATAGAGAGGTCTTATGATCCAATCTGCCACTTGACCCGTGAGTTGCCTTTTCCTTGTCTCTTAGAGGCATTCTCCAGCCTCGGGTGAATGTTTCAAGGATGAGCTACTCACTGTGGCTTTTCAATCACCTTTGCTCACTAGAGACGGAAACTTCCACCCATCAGTCCTCGCTCTGAAGTGCAGGTCTTTCTCTTCCACTTGTTAACGCTCAGCAATTTGAAGACATTTCAATTTGAAGTGAAATGACAATTTGCAGAGGTGTCCTCCATGAGACTTATTTTCCCAGTCAATCATCCTTAGTTCCTTCAATGAATTTTTTTTTTCTGTTAACCTTTAGTTTTGGGCTTTTTAGAAAACAACCCATGCTTATTCGGCAGGCAAGTCAAACAGGGAAAAACAATGAAAATGCACCTACTTGATGGTGATGATTACCATCTTGCTATGTTTCCTCTCAGATTCCTTTCTGCATTAATAATTTTAACAGACAACAGTTTGTAGAGAGAGACCCTTGCCTTAAAAGGTGATTTTGTCACTAGTCTGTTTAGCACGGCGCCTGGCACATTACACGACAAGGTAACATTTTTGGAAGCACTTATTACGTGCTGGAAACTCTTCTGAACTCTTTACATGTATTAAATCAGTTCATCCTCACACACTCTTCTGAAGTAGGCACCATCATTTTCCCTATTCTGTAGGGGAAATTAAGGCCTAGATATGTGAAGGAACTTGTGCAGTCAATAACAGCTAGGATTTGTGCCCAGGTAGTACGATTCTCCCAAATCCACATTAGTTTTCACAAGATCATTGCTTCTCTAAAACAAAAACCAAGAAAAAGCACTCAATAGACTATAGCTATTGTTATTATTACCCTTTTAAAGGAGAGATTTGAAATTGTTGAACTCTTAAAAAGACTGAGGAGAATATAATACTTTCCTTACTGGGGTGTGGGGAGGTGTTATAAACAAACACTAATGAAGTTGTTCTTTATACCATCCTTCTGGTTTGTATGACATTCTAAAGGGCAATCTATGCTTCTGAGAAGCTTAATATCTCATATAGCAGAGGATTATTGAAGGCATTATTTTTTACCTTGTTCGCTGCTCCTGTTTATTCTTGGTCAAACTTTACCCAGAGAAATTAAATTTTTAATATCAGGCCAAATAAAAACTAAGAAGATACCTTTTCTTGAAACATGCACTTGCATGGAAAAGCAGTATACCAGTGGTTAAAATCGTAGGCAGTGGAACAAGGCTGCCTGGCCTCCAATCTTTGCTAATTTCTAGTTGTGTGATTTTTGGCAAATTCCTTAAATGCTCTGTGTCTCAGTTGCTGCATCTGTAAAATAGGCTCGTTAATAATAATACCTGTCTCTAGAGTTGTTACGATAGTTAAGTTACTTAATCCATGCCAGCACACTTAGAACACTCCCTGGCACATAGTCACTGCTCAGTCAGCCTGAACTTGTATTACAAACAGACCTTCCCTCCCACATTTATACGAAGCTAAAAGGAGACAAAAGTCGTTGCGCGTCAGGTGTCGTTTTGGTTTACAAGCCTTACTCTTTTTAAGTGAATGACAAAGAAATCTTGAGAGAGGGAGTGCTTCAGAAAGTTGTTGTGGGGATTTTACTCAGCCAATTTCAGGGCTTAAGGAAGAGGAGGCATTCGAGTTTAATGAGTTACAGACACCAGGTGGCACTGTAAACAAGCTCAGTAACAGGCTCTTCGCTTCCCTTCTGACGCTTCTGAGAGGCTGCTGTCCTGTGAGACGGAAAAACCCAGGCCTCTTTACCAAAAAAAAAAAAAAAAAAAATTTACAACACTGAGGAAATATGGAAATTCAAAACAATTTTTAAAACTCTTCTGCTATAATTTAATTGTTTATGAGTTAACACCTTTTAAAAATGATCCCACAAATAGCATACTTATGTCAGGAACTAGATTTTATAGAGCAGTGCACATTATGTTTTAAGAAATGGAAAATCACTGCCAGGTGTAATCCATAATTAAACTCACAAATAACGCTTTAAACACAAACCCCAAATTATAATAACTTGGCGAATAACTTCCTCTGGAAATACAACCAAATCTGTATATATGAGGCCCAAGTCACATGGTCCCCTGCTTCTCCTTCAGCAGGCTTTAGTGGATTGAGCACAAGATTTAGGATTCCGGTGGCTTGTCGGAACCTTCCTTCTAGAGGGTCAGAGTTTTCCTTGGTGAGGAAACCGCGGGGTACTTTCCTAGCCTCTTACCCACCCGCCTCTTCCAGGCCTGGCTTGTCCCTCCCTTCCTTCTTGAGACTGTCCGCTTCCCTACCCGCCCCAGAGCAGATGGCCTCTTTATGTTTCCTCCCTCTTTGGTCCTCCTCTCAGGAACCGTATTTCCCAGATGCAAAGACAGCAGGAGGCCACGGGGAAAGGAGAAGGGAGTTAATACTTATTGAACACCTCCTGTGGGCCAGGAACTGGCCAGGGTGCTTTACCCACATCATCTCACAACAACTGTAAAGCCAGTATCCATCCCCATATTGTGGGGGGAACATGCATTGAGAAGATAGATATCTAAGTCTTCCGAAGTGAACCAGCTCCTTAGTGGGCAATGCCACGTGTTTTCTCTGTCATCCCCACGTGATTGAGAAGGTCAGGGCCAGTGGCTCAGATGGAGATGAAACTGCAGAGGATTCTCTCTTCCGGTCTGTGGCCATGTCTGGTTCACTCTGTCAGCACAACACCTCTTCGGCGTGAATGCAACTCCCTTCCCACAGCTTTACTTAGTTCAAGCCTTTGTTAGCCTCTCCTGGTTTAGCCCACACCTTGGAACCTGCTAGCTTAGGCTTCATTCCCAGATTTACCTTTTACTGGGTGTGTAACCTTTGGCAAGTTGCTTGCCATTGTCTTACCTCCGTTTCCTTATTTGTAATATGGAGATAATGCCGTCCGTCTTGGAGAGTGGAATTACAAGGATGAAATGGCATAAGTATTTGTAGATCTTATCAGAGTCCTCTTCCCTCCCTTTTGCTTGGACCGCCTGTTGATTCATCCACGGTACATACATGCACCGTGCACCCACCATGTGCCAGGAATTCTGTGGGGCACATAGGATAGACCTGCTTCCTACATTCAGGGAATTAGAGTGCATGAGGGAGACAGAAAATAATCAACTAGAAGCTAGATAAAAATATAATTTCAGGTAGTGCTAAATGCTGGAAGAAAATAGAGCAAGGTCAAAAGGCTGAGCTCTCTGGCCATCCTGTTTCCTTTGCACAGAATGCTGGTCCCCACTGTTGAACTCGTACTCATCTTTCAAGTCCCCCATCAAATGATCATCTCAGCGAAATTGTCACAATTCACTGTCAGATTCAATCATGGCCTCTCTATGAGGCTGAGGACAACCACCGTCTTACTCCTGGTTGCATTTTCCAAACCACCACCCGCCCCCAAGAAAAGCTCCTTGGATATTCTGCAGAGGAAAGCTGACCCTGTCACCCCAAGTAACTACCGGCTGTGCCAGTTTGAGAGTGGCAGATCCTCGGTTGGGCTTGGAGAGAGAGAAGAGAAGGGGGACAGATATACAGGGGCCAAAGGCACAAGCTTCCAAACAGATGAAGCAGTGAGGCATCCACACTGTGTGTGTGTTAGAGGCAGGGATGAAGGCCAACAGGAGGGACTGACAGTGGTTAGGAATGTGCCTTCTGCAAGGGAAGCAGGTTCCACCCCTGGTCCGGGAACTAAGATTCCACGTGCCATGGGGCAGCTAAGCCTATGTGATGCAACTACTGACTCCGTGCACCACAGCTAGAGAGCCTGCATGCTGCAGTGAAGACCCACCACAGCCAAAAAAACCCAAAAAACCAGCAAAAACACCCAGACATTTATTTTCAATTCTGGAAGTTAAACATCCAAAATCAAAGTGTTTGCAGCGTTGGTTTCTTCTGAGACCTCTCTGTTTGGCTTCTGGGTGACTTTTGTCTCTCTGTGACTTCATATGGCCCGTCTGTGCCATGTCCTAATCTCTCCTTCCCATAAGGACGTAAATCATAGTAGATTAGGGCCCACCCTGATAAAACCCATTTTACATTCACCAGCTTTTTAAAGTCTCTGTCTCCAAGTTAGTTATATTTTAAAGTGCAGGGGTTTAGGACTACAACATATGGATTTGAGGGGAAACACAATTCAGCCCATAGCAGGTAGTCATACCCACTTTCTGCCCAGA